CTTGGATTGACCAACTGTTTTTTTAACATTCCACTTAAATTCCTTTCTTCTGTACCATTCTGTATCTATTTCCTGGTTGCTCCTGGTACTGATTTATGTGTACTTAATTCATCGGAGTACAGAGTTAACATTTTAACTCTTTATGAAAACTGTAAGCACCTATACAATCTTATTTCATTTACCTCAAATCTATTGTGTTATGGCCATACATCTTACATCTACATATGTTATAAGCCTAACCAGAAAACGTTATATTTTTGTATTAAATTATCAATTGTATATTAAATAGAGAATAAACAAAAAAAAGTTAGTCTTTCTAATTTATCCAGTGTGTTTATCTACCTAGTATCTTTACTCTGTCCTTTGATCAGTTCCATCTGGAGTCATATGCCTCTGTCTGAAAATTTCCCACAGCAGTTATTTCAGCAGTAACTTTCTGAAAATATTTTCAATTTACTTTCACTTTTGAAGGCATTTTGGCTAGATATAGCATTTTTGGTTTTGTTTGTTTATTTCTCCTATACATACCTTAAAGGGGTTGGTCCATGTGTGCCGACATTCATTTTTTCTGATTCCTGGGAATTTCACTGTTATTTGCACCATTATTCTTCTGTAAATAATGTGACACGTTTTCTCTGGCTGTTTTCAAGACGTTTATCTTTCTATCTTTCCTATTAAGAAATTTAATTATAATATGTGTAGGTGTGATTTTATTTTCATTTAGCCTGCTTTAAGTTTCCTGAGCTACATAAATCTGTATATTTGTGTTTTCCTTCATGTTTTAGATAGCTTTGTCATTATTTCTTCACAATATATGTGCATATATTTTTCTTTCTCTCATATTTTCTCTCTCCTCTCCTGGGAATCTAATTACATATATATCAGACCTACTGGTTACTGACATCCAATTTATTTGTTTCTCAATCTGTTTTTCTCTCTGTACTTCATATTGGATAATTTCTATTGTTCTATCTACAAGGTCACTGAATCTTTCTTTTGCCATCTTCAATATCCTGTTAGTCACATCCAAAAAATTTAATTTCTTAAAGCTTCCATTTTGTTGTTTTCTTAGAATATTTCTGTTTCTTCCACCTGTTAAGTTTTTTTCCCTGAGTATTGGAACATTTTTACAATAACTACTTTAAAACCCCTGCCTGCTAATTCCTATTCCTAGTTTATCTTGGGACATGTGTGTATTCATTTTCTATGGCCCATGAGTCATATTTTCCTACACCATCCTATATCTAGTCATTTTTATGGCTTGCTAGACATTTTGGATGATATACTGTTGAGACTCTTGCTTCTTTTATCTTTCACTGAAGAGAACTGATTTCTGTTCAAGTAGACAGCCAAACTTTTGGCTGCTCACCTTCAACTTATAGAGTCTATAATTTAGAGCTTTAGAGAGTGTCTGTTTCAGTTTGCTCTTGAACCCAGAGATTTGTAATGCTGTCTTTCCTTGTGAGACAAAGCCATCCTATGTTTCACTGAAAAGACTGATGTTTCCCAAAACCCTCTATGTTGAAGATACTCAAACTGCTAAGTCTTTCCTTTGCATTAACCAGCTGCTAAACTTCTGTTCAACTTCTTCATGCTTTGAGATGTGGTTTTCCACGGAGCTCCATGGCATCCCATTCTGGGCTTAGCCAAGGATTTGAGGGGAGGTTATAAATAGGTCTGGATCTTTCATTAATTTTTTTGTGAACCATGCTGTTCAAAAAAAGATTGATTGAACTTTAAAATGTGATTTCTAAGAATTTCTTTTATAAGAAGTTTAGTGAATATTTTCCTCCTTATATGCAGAAAATAATATATATATATATTTTCCCTACAATGCTTTATATTTATATCATTGTCTGCAATTTTCAACAAGATTAAACTACTTGAAGAAAATTCTCTAGAAATTCAATTTCTTATTATATTTTTTATAAAAATGACTAATAATAAATAAGGAAATACAATTGCAAGGGAATATGGTTCATAGTTTGCATATATATATTCCATAAATTCACTAGATAACTTAAAATATCAGTAAAAGTCTTTTTAAAACTTGTATATGTAAAATAACAGGTTTCTGAGAGTAACCTTTTAATTTTTGAAATTCCTATTTTGATATTGCATGGCTCCAACCAGTGGCCTTGGATTGTTTAGCAGATATAATGGAAGTTGGTATTGATTGACCCCAACATACAAATTGCTTTACCTGAAATATTGTCTTAACAGGTTCTTTGGAGCTCAGATGGACATTTTCCTATTAAAACACACACACACGATGTTTATTGTTTTTATAGTCCCAGACAAAACCACAATTTTTTATCCATCTGTAATCAGATGTTAGTACTAATAGTGCGATAAAAACTGGTAAGCTTCTTGGGTAAGTTCCACTGAATCACTAAACTATCTCACCTTGAACAATTTCTGCAACCCTGGTATGGGAAGAGATCTCCACATTCATGATATCCACGAGCATCCCTATGTCCGGGCTGATCATCTTTAAGTAGGGATTAATTGTTGCAGGCTCTTATTGGCTAATAAACACAATCAACTTCTTGCATGTCACCAGACTCTTTTCCTGTTTTTCTTCAGACTCCCTTAAGTAATGTGTCCCTTTTCCTTTCTGTTTTATTCATCTGTTTACTCTTATAAAAGTTCACCTACTTTCTCATAGATTATTTTTTGCCTCTCTGCCTCTAACGTAAGTATGACACTCTTTTGGAGTTCTCTAAAGTTTATTTGTTACGAGATAAAGTTAGGTGAAACAAAAAGAGATAACGGAAGAGTATGAAGCACTTGCTACAGAAGTAAAGGGATGTGAAATCCAGACCTCAAAAGTATTGGGGAGGAGAGGAATCCCCATGACTTCTCGATTTTGTGGCTACCATTGTGTAAGGAAATCATTTTATCTGCCCATAGGCATCCCAGAGTACAGGCGTCAAGACTAATCCACTTTTAAGTATTTAAGTTATTTTACAATCTCCATTTTGGTTATGTTCTGGCTTAAGGTCCTGTAATAATTGCTGTTACCAAAACAAAAGAAGCCACTAAATTTTTGAGATCTTCAGACAAGATATATTCTATCTAAAAATTTAACAAAAGCTAGATATTTTGGAAATAAGAAAATAAAGAGAGCTATGTAGTGGTAATAAAAAGAAATCAGGAAACATAAAAACTACATAATAGTAAATAATAACAAAGATAATTAGCAGAGCCAAAGTAAATAGGTATATTATCAAAGAAACTTTCCCTCAAACTATATGTGAATAAGATAACAAAAAGCTGAAAAGTTAGGCAAATCACCAATTTCTAAAGGAGATTTACTAGTTCATGAAATTACAACAAAGTAACCAACCAAAGCCAATTAATAAAGTCTATTATGATTTGTTTCAGGCAGATGATTTTAATGACTTTTATAAACTCATGATACATATGTAATGTTTTCTCATTCCCTAAGTAAGAAATAATTTCTAATGCTCTGATTCTTACATTCAGGCATCACTTCTAGCTGTGTGCACTTGCATTTATGAATTTCTCTTCTTTGAGAAGTCTGTTAGGCATGAATATTTACTTCTTTTAAAAAATACTTTATATTTACGGCATTAGACTCTATATGCTAGACTAGACTTGAGCCAATGAGAAATCAGATATTGTTTAAATTATATTTACTATGTGTTTACTTATCATATTGGCTATTTAAAGCAGAAAATAACGAAAATATTTCTTAGGTATAATTTCCTAATGTAGACAACAGTCTTTATTATTTCTCCTTGGAGTTCTAGACATTTATATAAATTAATAGAGCTCTATAAATGGGTAACTCAAAATATAGACAGAAAAAGATTCCCTGAAGTATTGAATAAATATATTCTCAATATTCTCCTGAAAGCTGCCATGGATTTTTCCATTTTGGTCACTACTCATCTCCACACTCATTTCTGGGACTCTCTCTCATATGCCCTTTTTTCCTTTTGTGGTTTGATCAGAACACAGTCAAAGAAGAGCATAGTTGGATTTCATTGCAAGATAGTTGACCAGTAATTCTCTCTTTCTATAGTATAATCCACTTAAAAACAGATACATGAGTTTCGTTTCTGGTGTGGTGAATTCTTTACAGGAACTAAATACCTAAACTTTAATTAATTCTAGTACTGCTCCCTTGGATAACCAAATACTGCAAATAAATATTTTGAATCAGAAATAGGGGCAAGGCTAGAATAAAGAATGTAATATCTATTATATAAAATTGATTTTTAGTTTAGATAATAAAGTATTTACAGTAATAAGTATAATTTGTGAATATTTAACAAATTCTTATTTTTCTCCCATACCAGAATTCCCCACTATTAGAGTATTTTAAATTCATAATCTATAAAACATAATCATCTAGCTTCTTTACATGAGAGGTTTTGTGAAAATCATGAATTACAGAATCTACACTAAGTTTTTCTAGGCAACTTTTCCATATTGCATACAACTACTCTCTTTAGTATATCTCTGCCTGAATCCTCTTATAGTTTTAGATTGTGGAATAATTTTTATTTTCATAATTGCACTACATTGACGCTTTTAAAACTGTTTTTAAATCTGATCATTAATGCATTTTTTTAAGAATTCAAGAAAACAATTTTATTTTTTTCCAAAATTATTGATGCAAGACTAATAGTTATCGAAGAATCAAATTAAGGACATTAATAGTTTTAAAATAATCATTTGAAATATCATGCATTCAATGTTTAAAACCTGTGACTAGAAGATGAAGTTGATTATCTTTGCTAATGTATTTTAGAATAATAATTTCCTGGGCAAGTGTTAGTTTATTCTTTTATAAATTGAGACTACAAAATTTAGTAAAAGTATTTTGAAAATAGGTTTTATGAAAACTTTGAGATATATAAGTTTTAAGAATGGAAAAACATTACTTTAGTCACTGTTGATCTTAATTCAACTTAAATTATAATTAACAATTATATGTAAAGTTTGAATCAGTGATCTATTTTAAAACTTGCAATTATACTTCCCTTTGCCATATTGGTTACTTCTTTATACTAATGAAGTTTTATTTATGAAATAAACACATTTAGAAATATCTACTTATGGAGATCCACAATGCTAGAGTTAAAGAAAATAAAGCATAACTATAATTTGTCACCTGAAAGGTAATTGCACACAATCTAAAGTTTATCAGTATCTTTTCCTTCCTCCAAATAATAACAAGACCATTTGCTGACTTTCATCAGTATTTTAACGCCATTTTGTTTCTACATTCCCTAAATTAGTCATAATTATTACTATTTTTTATAAAGTTAGTACTTGCTCATTGTATAACCAAAATAGACTTTTAATATTAGCCATTATATAATTTGAAGATTAATCATTTTATGACGTCTATGGCTTCAAAAAGTTGGCTCTCATTATAAAAATGATATAAAAGTCTAATGCTTTACAATAATTTTCTTTCTTGGTTACCCAAACTAAGGCATCTGTAATTAACATAGTACCAACCGTGGTAAATACGTAATGAGAATACTTTCTCAGGCTTTAACTTAGGCATTTGTGAATTCTAGAATTTAGTTACAGGCAAGAGTGACTGTCTCTATCTTAAACCAAACTGCCAACATCTACAGCTACAGCAGGAAGATAAATATAACCACCACTAACTGGAACACTTGCAATAATGCCCTTATGAAGAGGATTAATTACTATGGTTCTCTGTAAAGCGTTGTTCAGAATTCCTGTTTCTTGAATATTGTGTGACAAGCAGTGTAAATATGCACTATAGTGATGCACAGTATGGATTATACACACTGTGTGGATGCAAATTCACATTGTATATACAAATATATAAGCAATATAAGAAACTTTACGTGAAAGATTTCACTCAGGGCCCCACACTCTAGCCCAGATACGCTGAAATGTGCATTTGTCTATTATACTTTTTCTCTTTTGAAATCATTTGTTCTTTAGTTCTTTCTATAGACTAAAGATTTGTGTTTACCGGAATTTGTATTTTGAGACTTATCTGCCAAGTGAAGTTATTTGGAGGTGAGGTCTTTGGGAGGTGAGAGCAGAGCCCTCATGAATGGGATTGGAACCCTTAAAAAAGAGACTGCAGAGAATTCCTTCCCCACTTCAGCCATGTGAAGACACAGGGAAAAGATAGCCATCTACTAACCAGGATTCGGGCTCTCACCAGACATCAAATCTGCCAGCATTTTGACCTTGGACTTCCCAGTTTCTGGAACTGTGAGCAATACATTTCTGCTATTTATAAGCCACTCAGTCTGCCGTATTTCATTATAGCAGCCTCAATGGACCAAGACAGTTGCAATTAAGATCTAAATCTTAATCTTTCGCTGAACTCTTTCTTTTGACTTTGTTCCATATTTGTACATGTTTTTGTTTGTTTGTCTTTTTGTTTTCCCTTAATAAATTTCAAACTTAGCTCCAAAGAGAAAATTATTCTTACTGGGTTGTTCATCAATGTATGCTGCAAACAATTCAAACTCTTCTAAATACAGCTCTCTCTTCCTTGCTCCTCCACATCCACTTTCCAACCTTGCCAGTCCTGCTCTTGACTCAGGACACTGACAGAGGTGGGCTATGTCTGCAGGACTCCCATGCCACCTGGCTTTTAACTGAGTTGCACCAGTGGTGAGCTTTACTAGGAAATCTGAAGGACGAAGGATAGATAGGTCAGGAAAATTATCTTCAGCCTCCCTCCCAACGGAGTCAACACAGCTTAGCTGTATTCCTTGACCAAAGATGACAAATCCTCAGAGCCATTTGTTGCCTTTTAACCCACAATCTCACCTTCCCTTCATTTTTTCACTTCTGCTAGTACTGGAATCTGCATTAACATTCAAGGTTCCACTGTATCTCACTCACATCTTTGTAACTAATACCTATATAAATAAAACCTCTTCAAATTATCTTATTTTGCATATGTCATCTGTTTCCAGTTGAAATCCTGATTGATACATTTTCAGAGTCATAGAAAACATTATTTACATATGTCCTTGAGGGTACATTAATATGCTTGAAATCTAAGACAATTTTAATACTCATCTAATAACCTTGTCTAGGCAACCAGCTGATAATGTTATTATTATCTTATTAACATCCAATAATACCATTCTTATTGTCTTATTAACATGCAATAAGATACTGAATAATTTTAGTTCTCAAGAGAAGCCACAGGACAAAGCATAGAATAGTATAAAAATGATTTGAGTTTATCACTTATACACAAAGCATTTTTCAAGAAGTTACTTCAAAATTAATCTGATTTATGCCATAAGAATAATTTATTGAATGTTAGAAGGTTATCATCTATGGTCAATTGTTCTAACTCCATATAAATGCATCATCTAACCACACACAAATGCATTTAAAAATAGGTTTATGGGGCTGGCCTCACGGCCAAGTGGTTAAAGTTTTGTCCACTGCACTTCAGTGGCCTGGGTTTGCAGGTTTGGATCTGGGGTGTGGACCTAGACCACTCATCAGCCATGCTGTGGAAGCATCCCATATACAAAATAGAGGAAGACTAGCGCTCAGGGCTAATCTTCCTCAAGCAAAAAGAACAAAGGAAGATTGGCAATAGATGTTAGCTCAGGGTGAATCTTCCTCAATAAAAAAAAAAAGAAAAAAAGAGTTTAAACAGTTAAAATTTTTTTGTTAATTATTGTTCCTATATTCAGAAAAAGAACAAGTTTGCACTATTTCAAAATTTCTTTCATTGCTTTATAAATAAGATTAAATTTAGATGTGCAGAAAAATAGACAATACAGCAAAAAAAGGGGGAAAAAAAGCATGTTTAAAATAAATTTGGTTTCATACTTGTGAAATGTTACAGTCATTATAGAATTGAATTAATAAAACCTTGATGGAAAACTAAATTAATTGGAAAAAATATTAATCATTTCAGTTGAAACTTAACTATATTATTTACTTTAGTTATGTTTTCCAAACTGGGACCTAATTTACTAATTTGTCAATTTCCCTTCCCCAGTTCCACGCTGTTAGTCCCTCAGTTTGTGGAGTGTGGGCCTACAGCGTCTGGGCGTTTGTATCAGTTGGTTGGCATGTTTCCCTAGTGAGGCCAAGGATCTATACCCAGGCCCCACAGGGTCACTGAGTTTCACACAAAAACAATAACCATATAATGTATCTTTAATATCAATACTGAAAAAAATCAGTTGATTCATACACAAGGTTACCTTCATCTTTGCTTGAGAAACTAGTCTCTATTCTATTATTAATAACAATGATACTAATAATACTGAATCATTTTAGTTTATCATTTTCATGAATACAGCACATTCACCTTAAGCTCACTCACATGGAGGTTGCTCATTTCCCTCATCTCACAAATTAGTGGTTCAGGAGGTACTCTAAGCATCCTTTCATCCCTGCTGCCCAGACGCTCTTTCTAAATCATCACTTCTTCACACTCTTGTAAAAGCATCTGTGAATTTAAGGCTCATGCCCCCATGCTATACAGCAGGTTCTCTTCAGACTTTTTTAGCTCTTTATTTTGAAATATTTTAAACTTACACTACATGTGAAAAAAATATTAAACAGAAAACCCTTACAAATTTCACCCATATTCTATCTACATACACACGCATATACAAGTGTAGTAAAATAGTAATTTTTTGAAATCTTACACACATTCAAGAGTAAGTCGTAAATGAGTTGCACATTTACCTCTGAATAATTGTGTGTATAATTGTGTGCGTTTCTTAAAAAGGATGTTCCTCAAATAACTACAGTTCAATGATAAATATCACAAAATCAACCTTGATAAAATACTATTTATATAATATATAGATTTTATTTAACCTTTACCAGTTGTCTCACTAATGCTCTTTTTATCTGGCCCAGGATCACATGATGCCATTGTCATTTTTCTTTAAACCTCTTTAAGATAATATAGTTTCTCAATCTTTGCATTTTCTTGACCTTGGTACTTTTGCTGAGATCCCCTTCACTCTTTCTCATTCATTAAATGACTGAGTACTGTGCTTATATCTGCTTTTTCCATACTGGCATCAGGCTGGTACCCTGAACATGACTACACATCATCTCTTGTGCTCTTCACCTTCCTCAGTTCAGCCCCTACTCAGCGCGGCTACATCATGGACCTAGTCAGTACCCGAAAGTGTTCCCATTTCTAAAATATTAACCGTTATTCTTGCATAGCATCATTCTTGCTACTATACTTATTGTCAAATTCTCAGAGAACTCAAATTTCTCTCGTATTTCTCCTGATCAGATTCCTCCTGCCTTCATTTTCTTCCATGTTCAGTGAATATTTCATAGTATGTCAATCAACCTAAATCTTGTCAGTACTTTAAGTTCCTTCAACCCGTTTGTTTCAGTGTCCTCACTTGACAAAATACTCATTTCAGATTAATCAAATGTTTTCCACCATCTTGCCTTTATTATAAAAGCAGGAAGAATAGTGACGGTGTAAATTTATGATCCAAGATCAATTAGGCGATTAATGCTTTTAGTCGATCCTTCTTTCTCTTTTTCCTTCAAAAGAAATAGAAATTGGTCACGTGGGCAACCTAACGTAAAAATGAGCCCGGCACAGGCACAACCAACAAAAGACTCGCCCCTTCAAATGCATACCACCCTTGTTTTTGAGTGATCCCTGCTTCTTTACCAATGACAAACCTCATGATAAAGATTACTGAAATAATCATGAAATTAACATTGCTTCAATTCAGAAATGCTCCCCTCTTTTTACAATTTTGCTTAAGCCCCTCCCAACTTCCCCTTATTAAAATGCTCCTTGTTTTTCCCAGAGGCGTATTTCACTTTGCTGTACAGCAAACTAAATAAGCTAACATTGTTTCAATGCAAGGGTGTTCTGGATAAGTTTTAGTTGGAGGGGTGGCTGATACCTCCTTGACTCATTTCTACCCCCTCCTAATTTTTTTTTTTAAACTTGTTTGCTTATTTTAAATTTTCTTTGTTCTTTTCATTAGTAGCCATGCCACTTTGCCCTTCACTTTCACCCATAAGATGCCCTTCTATTTCCCACCAAAAATATACAGTTCTTTAGATAATAATGTTCCATGGCTGTATTGCGGAGAATGGGTTACAAGAGAATTAAACTTGAGGTAAGACAAATGATTTACAGTTTCCAGGAGGAGACAGTAGTCTGGAGGAGGGCCCCAAGGTGGAATTGCAGAGAAGGGAACAGAACCCAGGGACATTAAAGAGGTACAGTCATGAGACTGCAAGCCAATTGCTGCTGCCCTGCACTCTTACTGAAGATTCACAGATTTGAGATAGCTTGGAAGAGGAGAGAAAAGTTCAAAGTAAACAACAGTATAGAATTAGATGACTATGATACTGGAATGGACATGTTGTTAACTGAGTAGACCCTTCTTGTGGATAAATGATGCCACTTTACACAAAAATTGTGGGGCCTGTCGAAGAGTTCTGTCTAAAGTGGTGAAGAAGAAATAATCTATAGAGTATGGAGAAAGAGACAAAATATATATACATATATTTTCCTGAGTTGTACTATATTGAATACCCCATTCAGTGTGTTCCTTATACATGTTACTCTACTATTTCTCAATTTTTCCATTTTAGATAATGTGGACTGCCTTCCTACTGTGTAATGCCATCTCCCTTTCCATCACCCCACACCCTACATACTCACAGACTACGGAAATATACACAAACAGACAAAGACTTTTCTCTGTGCAACTCTGTGCACAGCTCTGTGTAGCTTGGAAAATTAATGTGGAAATTATTTCAAGCCTTGGATAATGAATTGTTCTTTCAGACTGGATAGGTGTTTGCATCTTTCAGGCAACCAGGCAACCATTAGTCCAGGACCATTTCAATTAAATTCATGGCTTGGTTTTTATTGTCTCTTTTTTTTTTTTGCATAACATAGGTAATATGAATTTGTTTTGCAAATCCACATGCGGCAGGTTTATGAGGATAAGTTCACATGGATATTTAATTTAACTCCATGATTGTGCAGTGACACTTTCCTCACCATCACTTAAGATTGGGAGGTGGGACTTGTCTATATCCAAAGGGAATAATGTGTGGGATCTCAGCTCTAAGAGGTTTGTCTCCTATCTGACTTTCTCTTAGTTTGGGGCCTCACTATTTATTCCCAGAAACCTGAAAAGCAAAGAAAACCAAAGCCCAAACCAAGTTCTGTAAATTACTCCAAGGCGAATGTGGCTCTGGTGCTCTGCCTACCTCTGTGGGTTCCCATTATAGAGGAAGAAAAATAACTTTCCCTCTATCTTTCTGAGTTCTTGGCTGAGATCCCTATAACAAAAGACAGACTAACGAGAAAAACAGTTTATTAATGCACGCAGCTCACACCACACAGTAGAAACCTAAACCAAAGTAATTCAACATGGTGGTTTAGGATTCCAGTGTATATAGCATCTTCAACAAAGAATGATAAATTTGTAGAGAAATGACTGTAGAAAGAGCTTTGGGGTAGGGGTAGCAAATTGTGGAGAGGAAGTGGGAAATTAAGGGTTAATTTAACAAGGTCTGTTTGTACAGATTTCTCAGCCTCAATTCCTCGCCTCTGATAATAAGAATCTCTTCCTTCTTCCTAGTCCGTACAGGGAGGACAGCTTACATGGGAGTTTTATTTCCTACTTTCATAAAGAA